GCAAATGTCGACAAATTTACAGGAAAGCCTTCCACAGCCACCGGCTCAAGTGCCAAAGTCCCCGCAGCCGAGCAGGCCAGAAAAATTGGTTGGCAGCTGAAACCGGGAACCACTGGCGAGGAGACAATCATTCTTGAGCCTCATGGCACTGATTCACGGCATCCAACACTCGGGAAGACAATGGATTCTGTACTACGGCAATATCAAAATATTATCGATATCACCCCCCAGGACCTTAGACTCATGAATTGGCACTATGCAAACTTAGAATATGCGAATGCCTCCAATGTTGACTCACTATCCCTTGGTCATTGGGATCAAGATGATGGGAATGACTTTAGCGGAGCGCATGCCATGCTGTTGGGTGGTTACACCCAGCTTCCGAGAGGCCTGTGGCTCAGCCCTAGTAAATTGGATATCCGAACACGACATGTAGTCAGAAAGATCACATATACTGCAGATGGGAATGTTCATGGAGGTGCCACGATTGAATGTGAAAATGAACAAGTCTTCCATGCGGATAAGGTTGTTGTCACGTTGCCATTGGGAGTTTTGAAAGCAGAACAAGTGAAGTTTGAACCGGCGCTTCCAGACTGGAAGAGTGGTGCGATCGAGAGATTGGGGTATGGATTGCTGAATAAGGTCTGTACATTGGAACCTTAATGGGCGACATCAAGCGTCCAGAAAGAATACTAATTGAGGACACAGGTGATTTTGGTATATGATGAGCCTTTCTGGGACGTAGATAATGATATGGTTGGCTTGCTAAGGGACCCAATGGGTCCTCCCGAGATTCAGGAAAGCTACGAGGCGAATAGAGGACGATTCTATATGTTCTGGAATTGCACGAAAGCCAGCGGGAAGCCTACCTTAGGTATTTTTCCAATCAAAAAACATCTTTCGCACTCTGCTAATAGATCTATCCAGTGGCCCTCATGGCCGGCGAAGCTGCAATGCAAACAGAACTCGAATCAGACGAGGTACTTGTCAAAGAAGCTACCTTCTACCTCTCAAAAATGTATCCCACCAAGAACGTTCCACAGCCCACAGAAACCATTGTTACACGATGGAAGAAAGACCCATACTCACGAGGCTCCTACTCGTATGTGGGACCTGAAGCCACTGCGGATGACTATGATCTCATGGCGAAGCCTGTCGGAAGCTCTCTCTATTTTGCCGGAGAAGCGTCCTGCAAGTCGTACCCTGCGACAGTACATGGTGCTTATATTAGCGGCCTTCAAGCCGCGAGTGAAATTGCAGAGTCTATTCTAGGGCCCATACACGTACCATCACCACTCATCCCGCCGAAGCCAAAGTTCCAGGGTTCATATGGCTCATTGGCCGGTTCCAAGAGAAAGGCCGAGGACTCGGTCATCGAAAAAGCGCGAGAACTGAAATCAGCGCGGTTAGAGAAATACGAAGAGAAGCTAAAACAGGCGCTCCACGAAGCACTTGGCGAGCGACCCACTAAGCCCGGTCGGTCAGGAGCAAACCCTTTCTTGCTGTACCAGAAGGATCATTGGTTTATCTGTAAAGCCAAGTGTGATGAAGCGCGACGAAAGAGTACAAACAATGCCGAAGCTAAAGCAACAAGGAATGAAGTCCGTGCGGCATTGGGTCAGATGTGGCGAGATGCTCCAGAGGATGAGAAGAGGCCTTACTTGAACGAGACAGAGAGCAATAAAAAGAGCAACGCAGCGAGCGTTACAGAGTTTAAAAAGAAGCTGAGTGAGTACGACAAGGCAGCCGCAAAGTTTAAGAAGGAATGGAAAGAGAAAAACCCGAGTGTTCCCACCGATGAAGAGGTGTTGCTTTCAAGGCAGGCAGATTTAGAGGTCAGTTCGAACGCATATATCGTGCTTCACGAAGCTAGGTCTAACATGACTGCAGATTGCGGAAATCAAAAGAAGCAGGAAGCTCAACGGATTCATTGATACAGATGAGGAAGACTACTGATATCTCATGAAACCAGCTACGAATTTGTGTGTGGGTTTGTGTGTGAAATGATTTAATTGGTCGTCTACACTTATATTATTCCCCGACGCACTTTCAATTATCGTTAACCTTTCCTCATTTCATCACCATGCATCTACCTTCTATCATCCCCCCCCCCCCCCCCTCCTCTCTCTCTCACACACTCGGTATTTTTTATCTTATTTTATCTTCTCTTTTCTTTTCTTTTTTTCTTTTCTTTCCAATTTCTGCATTGCGTTCCCAGCTACTTATTTATTTCTTCGTCATCTTTTTATCTTATTTTGTAACCATAGGGATGAGCGGTGCTGACCACCTGTCTGCCAGCCCCCCAGCCGAGCGAGGGGAGGAAAAAGAATGCAAGGCGATTTTTGGATCGCATATGTACTGTAGGAAACTATCGGTTAGGGGAAACTATTTTTTACGCGGTCAGGGCGAATCGTTTTGGCCTCCAGATCATGTCTTCTCACTCGCTAGGCCCAGGGCACGTATTATGGCTCTCAGAAAGACTCCTAATAGCGTACACCATCTGACTTGTCCTCTAAACCTGATTTCCACGAATGAAATGCATCTCCAGGGCCCGTTCTGGTGTTCACGCCATTAGGCACCGAGTGATACACCATGTCTCCACTACCTGTCACTAAGAAAAGTAGGTACATGTAGCCAGAGTGAGCAAACCTCCTACCCACCCCGCCTAAGTATCCCACAGCTAATCACAACTATAAAAAAAAACCCTCCTATCTCCTGTATATTCCCTCCCCCACCAGCCCACACCGCATCACTCAACTCTTACACTGCTACCCATCAGTGCTAGCAATAGTGGCGGGCAAGAGATAAAACCTGGCGGGACTTCGCCTCGAAATTTTGGAGATGACAAGCGAGACCATGTAGAGTTGTATATTCAAGGGTCTCGAGAGTAGTGTGGTCCATGAGCCGGCTCGAGTCGAGCCGACATATAAGCTCGAGCTGGCTCTGCTGGTCCTGGGAGACAGGGGCTCGCAAGGCTCGAGCTTTGCACAAAATCCTTAACCAACAACCCTAACCCTCTCTAACCCGGGCCGGCAGTACCAAAAAAAACCACATTACTATCAAGACATTTAAGGTCACGACGTTAAACAGAAAGAAAAAAAATTGTGATCACAAAGATCTATCGACACTTCGGCAAGATTGACCCTTAGTTAGGTATTGGCAATTATAAACTATGAAGCCTGATATTTAAGACTATTGCTCGAGTCTCGTATTGTCTTGTATTGTGCCCATCAGTAATTATAATACGTATGCATCTGGTCGGCCAATTAAGGTTCATATAACTGCCGCGTGGAACCGGACTATACCGTTCCTCTGTGGGTTTCTATATATACGCTACTTAATTCCTATTGCTGATAATAACTCCCCCACCCGACCCGGAATACGAGTGATATTCCATGTCTATGGGGGGGATTTGAGATCCAAACTCTATATGAGGAGATTATGAGTCCGAAGCCCCGATATAGGTAACTACTATCCGCTTGAATCTCTGGATATCTGCGTCCCTATATCTCAATTTGGGACTAAAGCAAATGGTGTCTACAGGAGAGAGAGAGAGAAGAGATTTTTTTTCCAGCACCCGGCGCCCAAATTGGGGGGGGCATGCGGAGAAAAAAAAAAAAAAAAAAAAAAAATGCGGAGTGTGACTAAACAAAAAAGTTGCTGGCCTTAGGTAGTAGGCTGGTGGCTTCACCATGGAAAAAAAATGTGCGTAATGAGCACCACCAATCACAGCACACGACCAAAAAAAAACCAGAGAGTAAAAAAAAATCACAACCACAACACCCGTCGACTGCAGCCTCCATATCTCCTCGACCCTCTTCGCCCAACCCCCCCCTCCGCTCTGGGCGCGGGGGGGGGGGGGGGCAAACCGGAAAGAAAGCCCACTTGCACCCAAACAAACCCCCCCCCCCCCCCCCGCGGCCGGGTACCGTCCGAGTGATATTCCATGTCGCACGCACGCGCTCGCTCACGCCTAATCTTGACCGTGATCTTGCCGTAAGATAGAAGTAGATAGATTGGAGCGGCCCAGATTGACCGTCTAGATACCAAGTAGGCCGGGTTAGTCATTGCCAATCGTGGCAAGACATTGCGGTGGGTGGTGGATGTTGTTCACAAAAAACGGTTTTAGGACCGTTGTTACAAACCATCTATACTTTTTTGTGTCGGGCCTCTAAACTGTAACTATAAAGAGAGAGAGAGAGAGAGAGAGAGAGAGAGAGAGAGAGAGCCTTTTTTGCTCTCTCTCTCTCCTAGCTTGTTTCTACTCATCAGTTCATATAATGCATTCGGTTCTTCACGTTAATTGCTTCACAAAGGTATATCATCTGTGAAAATAGTTATGACATCTGTCACCCCCCCCCCCCTTCTTTTCTCTCTGCCACTTGAAATTTCAAGGCGAGGATATCGGGGGAGCTTCAATACATGCTTCGCCCCGTGCCTTACTTTGCAGACTGCAGCCCCCTCCCGTCCTCCATATATATAAAAGCTAGATAACCTCCCCTCCCCCCCCCCTTCTGCTCCCCAGCCAAACTAAAAACCTAAATAAAAAATACGTTCTATCATTACCAATTCCTATATAAGTAGTTCCTAGATGCCTAATTCTCAAAGTAAAATGCTGTTTTTAAAAAGTCCCCCACGATATCTGGCTGGCATACATTACCCCCCCCCGTCGCGTCCGTCCTTTTTCTCTTCTCTTTTCTGTTCTGTTCTGTTCTGTTCGATGCTTCTTCTTCTTCTTCTTCTTCTACTAGATGCTTTCTGACCCCCCCCCCCCCCCCCCCGGTGAAGTGAAATAAGATGATATAATGAAATATAGCAGACAAGAGAAAAATGAAACCAAAAGTATAAAAGAAGCAGAAAAAAAAGAATCCCTACGCCAGACACAAGCAATTTAACGAGCCATAAAGAATAAGCCATAAAAAAAGAAAAAAAGCACTCATTAAAAATATAAAAACACAACCCCCCCCCCCACCCACCACTCCCCCCACCTCCCACACACACTACTCCTCCTCCCCCCCTCTCCTCCTCATCCCCTTCAACCCCACCTGCACAACCTCCAACGCATCCCCCAACCCCCCAAGCACCCTATCCAGCTCCTCCCACATCCTCGGATCCCCCCCATCCAGCGGCAACACGCCCACATCCAACGGCTCAATCACCGGGAACCCCGTCCCGCCTGCCCCCCCCCACGGCCTGCCCGGACTCGGCGGCAGCATCCCCGCCGCCGCCGGCAAATCCAGATTCAGATTCCCCGGCCTCCCCCCAGGCGGCCGCCCCCTCGTTATATCCGCGCTGCGCGACTTCCCATGCGGGATCGAGCTCGCGAGCCGCAGGCCGCCCGCCGACGGTGGTGGCGGCGGCGTAGGCGCGATAGTCGGGAGCGGCGGTGGCCCGTCACGGATGACGGCGATGTTGGGCGCAGACTTCGACGGGAGGTGGTGCGACTTGAGGCCGAGCTGCGGTGGGTTATAGTGATTCCGCGGTGGCGACGAAGGCGCCGACGCCGCGGTGCTCGGGCGGCGCGGTGGTGGCGGCGTCGGCGTGGGCGTCGGTGACGGCGAGACCGCGCGATCATCGACCGGCGTCGGCGGCGTGGGCGACGACGACAGGTTCGGCCTGTGCACCGACGCCCCCGCCGAGTCGGCGCGGTTGCGCCGGATGCGCACTATCGGCGGCGGCGGAGGCGTGGGCGTGGGCGTGCCGGGCTTCGCGCCGGTGTTGGGGCTCGCCGCGCGCTTCTCCGGCACCCGCAGACCGTTGTCGTCGAATGTGGGGATCGAGATCATGGACACCTTGTTCTCGGGCGTGGTACTGCGGCTGCTGGCATCGCTGCGGAACGACGACTCGTACCCCAGGCTGCCCGGCGCCGGCGTTGGCTTTGCCGCCGCCGCGGCAGCAGCCTCTTCTTCGGGGCTCTGGAACAGTCGTACGAGACCCTCGGCGGCGCGCTGGCGCGCGGCTTCAGACGCTCCGCGGTAGGGCATGGGCGGTGGCGCGGCTTTGAGCGTGCTGACGTTGCTGCTGCTGCCGCTACCGCTCATCTCCTGCTTGATGTACTCGGACACGCCGCTGAGGCGGCTCTTGACCGTGTCGAAGTCCCATCCGGGCTCTGATGCGAGCGTGGCGTTGAGCTGGTCCATGTCGCTCTGGAGGGCCGCCTGCCACATGCTGTCTCTGACGCCGCCGCGGGAGGCCCATGCCTCGTAGCGCACGATGAGCTCGCGCATGAGTGAGGAGGGGAGGCCCTTGGAGGCTTTGACGAATTTAGAGCGCAGCAGGTCGTCGACGGTTGCGCGCTCCTCGGGCACCTCGTTGAGGCACAGTGCGACGAACTCGCGCAGCGGGTTGGACCAGGTGCCGCCTTCGAGGCGCGGGGGGGGAAGGCGTGGGATCATGTCGACGACGCGGGAGGGGGGGATGTTGAAGAGGGGGGGGTTCTGTTTGGCCATTTCGATGATGGTGATGCCGAATGACCAGATGTCGATCTGGACCTAGTTAGCATGTGTGTCTATGACTCTGAGAGCTGTAGAGAGAGAGAAAGAGTGCAGACCCGTGAATCGTAGGAGCCGCCGGTGAGGGCTTCGGGCGCCATCCATTGCGGCGTGCCGACGAAGGTGTTGCGCTTCCCGTTCTTGCCGGCGAGCTGCGCGGAGACGCCGAAATCACAGAGCTGCACTCGCCCGTCTTGTCCGACAAGTATATTCGCCGCTACCATCATTCATCACCGCCCGTCAGCCAAACCTCACCCACCCCAAGCCCAAGACACTGACTGCATGCATGCCCGTACCTTTGATGTCGCGGTGTATGATCCCCTGCTTGTGCAGATAGCCCAGCGCCGTCAACGTCTCGCGCACTATGATTGTGATGTACTTTTCGTCGACGGGCCCCGCTTTCATCTACTCTCGTCAGCCCTCCCTTCCTCCCAACTCCCACAAGCACAAGAGGGCAACTCACCAACGTCCTCACACTCCCCCCACTGCAGAAGTCCATGATAACCCACAGCCGGTGCCCCAGCAGATAGCTCCCGTGGAAGGCCGTGATGTTGGGCGCATCCCCGGCCTTGAGCTGCGACAGCAGCGCGATCTCCTTCTGGATGTCTTTGATCTCGTCGTCGTGCTGGTCGAGGTCGAGCGACTTGACGGCCACGGTTTGTTTGGTCTCGTTGTGGATTCTGCTGTGCCGTTAGTGGTGGGAGGAGGAGGAGGGGGAATGGGGGGGGGGGAAGGAAGGAAGGGGAGGAGGGGGGAAGGAACCCTTTGTAGACACTCCCGAAACTGCCCTTGCCGACGAGCTCCAGCACGGTGTAGGGCACGTCGGGGGGCACGCCGGTCATCTCTTTGCGGACGGCCTTTTCGGAGTCTGGGGGGTGTTAGTTTGGCTCTGCATGTTGTTGCTGGGGAGCAGAGGGAGGTTACTTTCGCGCACTCGCAGCGCGCGGTCGGTGGCGGAGGCTGCGGACATGGCCATCGCGTCTACGGGAGGGGTTCAGCAGGGTCGTGATCTGATCTGATTGGGGGGGGGGGGGGGGTGCTGTATGGCAGGTTTGGTATCGTTCGTTGGGCCCGCTCCCGCACTCCCGCTGCTGTGGTGTTGCTTTTTCCGGCACGAACGAACGAACGATCGATCGGCGGATGGCTTGGTGGGTGTGTGTGTGCGTGTTGGGGGAGGGGAGAGCTGTGGGATGGACGGGGTATAGACAGTGAAGGTAAGGATGAGAGAGCTGGTGTTGATAGCAGAGTGGGCGAGGGTAAGGGGACGACGGGAAGTGCACTGGCCGGGGGTGTTTGTTACACGGGGGCACGGGGGGCACGGGGGGGGCACGGGTTCGTTACATGTATGCGGGGAATGTTCTGTCGCCCGTTGTTGCGCCTGCACTTCCTCTCTCGACCACGGTGCCTGGCTCGCTCAGCCCGCCAGTGCAGTGGCTAGAGAACGTGTGGAAAGAAGAAAAAAGGTTTGTGGAGGGAGGCTCTCGGCTGCCGGGCCGTCTGTCGGTCTTTGGGGTGTAGCTAAAGTGAGACACTCCCCTCCCGTAGAAAATATGACAGCGCGAGCAACAAACAAGCTTGATGCCTGATCCTTGGTTCCTTGGTTCCTTGGTTCCTTGGTTCGCGCGAGATCTGATCTGTATCTTGAACGACGCAGACAGGCAGCTTGAAACGGGCAGGTGGGTTGGTTGATGCACTTGGTATGTACCTACCTACCTACCTACTGTGCTGTTCCTCTCCGCTTTGTGCGGGTTTGTCGACTTTGACATTGGCCAGTGATTGATTAAACACTGCATCCAGAGACAGCAGCTACAGAGACACAGCCAGCGGCAGAGACAGAGACAGAGACAGACAGACAGACAGACAGCAGACAGACAGCAGACAGACAGACAGCAGACAGACTGAGATAAGCGACGGAGACGAGGCACGAGTGCTCCCCCGTGACGCGCCCTCACGTGACACGGTCTTGCACCCGTGCCGTCCGTCCATCTCTCACCCAACCAAACCACCACCAAACCACCGCCAAACCACCACCAAACCACCGCCACAACCACAACCGCAACCGCAACCACACACAAACACCGCCCCCATGGCACCCCCCCACCGCCATCCCGGCACAACCACCCGCCCCCCCCTGCAAACCCCCGCCGACCTCCACCGCGCCCGCACCCTCTCCCAAGCCCGCCTCAAGCAATCCTGGGAACGCATCTTCGCCCGCTTCAGCCACGACTTCTCCGGCATCGCCGACGAGATCGACAACGCCACCGGCGCCCTCCTCATCGACAACGGCCACCTGCGCAGCCTCGCCGACGCCGACGCCGACGCCGACGACGACGACCCCAACGACACCTCCACCGACGGCGGCTTCAGCACCGACGACGAGGACACCCCCCCACCACCACCACAACCGCAGTGCGGGCGGTGCTTAGAGCGCGACGAGCTCGACAACACCCCCCCCTGCCGCCACGTGGGGGGGTTAACGAAGGAGCAGATCCTGTCGTGGACGCCCGCGAAGCTACACACGCACCTTGCCGCGCTGAGCGCGCGCACTGGCATCGACTCGTGCGACCTGAGCTTCCAGCTGCAGAAGCACGACATCGACGGGCGGGCGCTGGGGGCGCTGGCGCTGGAGGAGCTGGAGACGAAGCTGCGGCTGCGGGAGCCGGTGGTGGTGGGCGTTGTGTGGGCCGAGATACGGCGGTTGCAGCGGATCCTGTCTGGTGACGCGGATGAGGAGGAGGAGGTAGAAGAAGCGGGGGTGCAAGAGCAGCAGGAGGAGGGGGGGGAGGAGGAAGATGCATGGGCGCCCCCTCCGAAGGAGGAGGATCCGTTCTATGGCGCCGCGTGGCGCGACGAGCATCCGGATGGCACGCCGGCGGCGTTTCTGAAGGGGAAGCGGCGGCGGGAGGAGGATGGCGCTCTGGGCAGTGGGAGTGGCAGGAAGAGGGTCAAGGTTGTGAGGGTTGGGGCGCCGAAAGATGCGGAGGGGACGACGAGGAGGATGGCGTTTGAGGTGGCTATACCTGCCCGGACGGCGACACCGCCGGCTGCGGAGCGGGAGACGCCTGGGGGTAGGAAGGCGGTGAAGAAGCACGCTGTGGAGACCCCCAGTCCTGCGTCTACTAGCAAGACTACTACAGGTGCGAGGAAGACGCCGGGCGACAGATCCACGGGCAACACTACGGGCCCCGGCCTCAAGTCGATCCTGAAGACGCCGGGGCTTAAATCGATACTCATGAAGCCTAGCACTCCCGTAACCGCAACTGCAATTGCAGCTGCGGCGCCCTCGAAAGCTACAACTACAACTAAAACACCCTCGAAATTCACGACTAAGACAGCCTCGAAGTCCACCACCACCCCAGCTGCCGCCTCGAAATCTACAACTAAAGCGCCGAAAGTCGACGCACCCGCCTTCAAAACGCCGCTCCCCAAAACTCGCTCGAAATCTACCACCGCGACCCCCGCAAAATCAGCGTCCAAAACCCCCGTAACTAAAACAGCTAAGGTCAAAACCCCGATCACCACCAGCACACCCGCCAAAACGCCCTCGAAGTCCAGTACTGCGACCCCATCGAGATCAAAATCTACACCCACCCTCAAGACACCCACTACTAAAACACCCGCTACCAAAACGCCAAAACCAAAAAGCGCACCCGCCAAAAAGACCCCCAAGGCTCCCAAAGCCCCCAAGACCCCCAAGACCTCGGAACCCGAAACGCCCGGCTGGACCACATCCATCGACCGCACCAAGCTCAAGGGCCACAGCTTCCTCGGCTTTGCGGGCGCGGACGGTGATTACGAGGATGAGTTGGCGTCGCCGGGTCCTGACGAGAAAGAGCGGAGGAGGGGGAGGAGGAGTGGTGGTGCGGAGAAGGAGAAGGAGGAGGATGTTATTGTTGTTGTAGGGGGAGCGGCGGTGGATGGGCAGGTGGATAGGGAGAAAATTGGAGAGAGTGGTGGGGATGGTAGAGAGGATGGTGTAGTGGCCACTCCCGCGAGCGCCGAGTCCGCTGCTACACCAGCGGCCGCACAGCCAGTAGAACACTCAGCCCCTACCACAACCACACCATCAGTAGTAGCCGCCGCCGCCGCCGACTCCGCATCCCCAGCAGCACCAGCACCAGCACCAGCACCAGCAGCGCAGAAAGAATCCCCCATTAAGGCGGACAAAACGGTCAAGCCGCCACACGCATGCAACAAGAAGGGCTTCTGCTTCGTGTGCATGGATCTGGAGGGGGAGGAGGATGATCTGATCTGATTTGATTTTAGCTGTCGAGTAGCTAGCTAGCCTCTTTTTTTTTTTTCTTTCTTCTTCAATGGGTACTGTTCTTTTCTTCACTCGCGTTTGTGGTTGGTTGTGGATATTGTCATGGCGTTGTGAGGTTTTTTGAGGTGTAGCAAGCAGCATACTATACATAGGTAGTTTTAGAGCATAGTATAACTTAGAGGAACTAATGGGGCGGATCAGTGTGTGAGTGAGTGAGGGCGTAGTAATGAATTGGAATAACCAGCTGTCATGAAGCTCCGCTACCTACCTCTGCAACAAAACTTATCCTATGGTGACACAGTTAAATTGGAATAGCTGCCAAAAAGCTCCGCTGCCTCTAACACAAGCGGCATGTACCCATGGTGAGATGTGGGGCAGGGAAGCGGTGTCAAACATCTGAATCACAATATCTCACACTCCATTGATGCCTGAGCTAACTGCATGTAATGATATCCTCTACTCTACAACACCGGCACAATCCATGGTAACACTTAAAAGGGATACATACAATGAGTCTTAAGGACAGGGAAGGGGAAGCGGTGGTCGTCAAGCATCTGAATCACAGAATCTCACACTCCGTTGACATTATTGCCTGCCTAACTAATAGCTTTACCCATCTGCCACCCACCTTGTAGCACCCACACCCACACCCACACCCACCCATCCACGGTAGCACCAAAGGCCGGCCACACAGAAACGGAAAGCGGCGGTGTCAAGCATCTGAATCACAGCATCTCACACCCCATCGATCCATCACACCCCATCACTCCTCTGCTAACTAATAGCTTACAATCCACCCACCTACCCACCTACCCACCTACATATCGATCACTGCACCTACCTACATGTACCTACATACCACCCCCACCCCTGCTCTCGCTGTGATCCGACACTGGAGTAGAGTAACACAACCAACCCAACCCCAAGAAGAGCCAGTAGCAGTGTATTTCCTGTACATATCCTCAGACGCCACCAAAAGCAAGTCAACGAGCGTGTCCGCCCACGATTCGGGCAGGGTTAGGGCTGACCGAAAGCAAGGGCCTCGATGTATGTCCTCCACCAGAAACCGTACGCATCCCTGGCGGGCGCCCCGAACATGGAAGCCCTATCCCCCGGTACGATCGAGAGTCTCAGTGGCTTTTTTCTCCTCACGTCTCGGTATGTAGGTAAGGTAGGTAGAGTAGCAGCTAGCTAGCAGGTGTGTCTAGGAAGTAGGGAGTTGAGGAAGGAGGAGGAGTACTTAACCCGCGCTAGCTGCTGCTGCATTCTCCTTTTTTTTTTCTTTTCTCTTTTCTCTTTCGTCTGGTTTGTTACTTTGGCTTTTTTGGTTTGGGATGTTGGTGATGATGAAGATGCATTCTACTACTACTGCTGCTGCTGCCACGACGAGAGACTCGACTGCTGCTGACGGCCCGGACGCGTTCTCGACGCCGAGGGAGATGGAGAATGGCCATTACAAGTCTGGGGAGCTGCTGGAAGGTAACTACCAATACTTACATAGCTACAAAGCTTACCATACCACATGCCCTGTTTTTTCTTTCTTCCACAAAGCTCAAATCTACCCCGCGAATTGATCATGATGGAAGAAGCTCTGAATGTTGACCGAGGGGAATTGGAAATTGCCCAAAAACAATAGCAATTGAACAGTACACGCTCGCCTGCGCCGCCAACCCGACCTCGGCGCTGCTACGCTTCGACCTCTCGGCCGCCCAGTTCGAGACGGGGCAGTATGCGGCGTCGCTCCAGTCCACCCGGGCCGGCATCGAGCTGTGCGGCGCTACTGCTGCTGCTGTCAACGACGACGGGGATGGGGGGGAGCTCCTCGCGAAGCTGTGGCTACACAGAGCTAGGTGTGAGCTCCATCTGCGCAACTACAGGGCTGCCGGGGAGGCTGCAAAACAGGTTTCCAGGATTGGGAGGGCGCCGGAGAGCACACGGAGGGATGCGGAGGAACTGGTGAATGCGGTTGAGGTGGCGATATACTATCATTCGTTGCTTTCGGAGGAGGAGGCGCTGAGAATCGTGTTTGAGGTTCCGAAATATAGGCCCAAGCTGTGAGTGAGATGTCTTTTGATTGGGTTCTCGATGGATGGGATGGATGGCCGGCCGGAAGCTGACAAAAGAGAGGAGCATAGGTCTACGAATGTCTTAGAATATTATAACCTCGGCCATGACGTTGCACAGTCCCAATTCGACCCCTCAACTGATTCGGCGGGAGCTACGCACTCGTTCTTCTTCAGTCGCGTGGGCGACTCACGACATCTGTTTGCAACAATTGTAGCAATCTCCCATCACGAGCTGTCCAATGAGAGTGCTTTCCAGCAAACACGCCCCTCAAGCTCCCAGGTCAAATATCACTTTACAGTAAATGACATAAAAGCTCATGCTGCTGCACGAAATGTCTTGATGCTACTGCTGATGCACCAGCTCGCCATATTCGGGCAAGATCAGCAACAGGCAAAGACCGACACTCTTGCATTGCTGTACTATATTTACCTTGGCGTGCTTATGCCCGCAAGAGTACATGGACACCTTCAGGAGTTTATACAAACGACCAGGACTGCGCTCACTATACGAGCCAGCCTTCCGTCGTGGTTATGGATCTCGCAGCGGGACTGCCTCAAAATAATAGAGATTCTCGACAGCTGGGTGGAGCCCATGTTTCCGGTTACACATGCACAGGCCCAGATTGCGGAGGCGGAAAGGGTCATGCCGCAGGGAGAAAAGCCCAAGGGGTGTGAGCGGGAGTGGACCGCCTACCGGAGGACCGGTGCATTATTCCCGCCAATGGCAATAAGGTGTCACGAGAGTGAGCTTGACGCATTCTTGGCTGGGGGCCCGGGGGTGGGAGGTCCGGGGATGGCCGCTTGGGAGGCCGGATTGAGGGCGTATGTGGGCCGGGAGTGGAAGGTGAACATGACCTTGGTTGACCGGGAGTGGTGTACGGAGTAAGTTGTCTATTTCGTCCAGTCATGTGGACCGAGTGATACTTATGATTGTGAACAGGGCCGGGGTGTGGGATGTTTCGTTCGACCCTTTCAGTTTCGTGGAAATGCTCTATGGTAAGGTCGATATATCGCTTCCACAGGAGCCGACACAGCTTTATGACTATTTTGAGCCTTTATTTATGAATACGGCCAACTCGCTTAACCATTTCGGGGGCATATTTAAGGTTGAATTGAACGTCGGTGACTGCTGCGGCGCTTTAGAAGAGATCAGGTATGGGAGTAAAGTTTCCAGGAGGGATGTTGAAAGACCAATGGACTTTCCTCGTATATATGACACCATCCATCTCAGTAATCTTCCGTAAGTCACTTTTATGCTGGAAAGGATCGTTCTTTTGGGCTGATTTTGTAGTGACTATACCGGTGGTCACCTATCCCCAGTTCTATACGCCCTCCCAGTGCTTAAAGATGCCCCACATGCACACATAACTTCCATATGCCAAGTGAACCCACCGTTATGGCAGTCCATCGAAGACTATGTTGCAGAATACGTTTGTCTTCCCACTTTAGATAGACTTCAAGCCGCCACATGCCTGAGGCTATGTCCTGGACAAGATGAAAGACTGCACGAGTTCATGCCCATGAGTGAATATACCTGCTGGCAGCACAGCACCTCCAAGACACTGTCATACAAGGAACTTCTACCCCGGACTGTATTCACCAGGTGGCTCCTCACGTTATTCTTCAAGTTTGCGGTTCCGCCCAATAGCGAGTCCCGATCAATGGCGAAGGTTTACTCTCCTCTTAATCTAAGTGCTTGGGTACGGCTATTAGGGCGAGTAGTCGAGATTGGATATCCTCCCCACTGGGTTTCAAGTCTGGTCGAAGACATCCTGGCGAACCGCGTTATGACAACAATTCGACCACCCGAAATTACGCCAATCCGGATCCCAGAGCTCGAGAAGGAGCACCCACCTCAGAAAATCTCAACATCACCTTTCATCCCAGAGCTTGAGGTGCTGCTTTGTACGTGGGCACGGGTTAGCCCCTTCACAATAGTTTCCCCAGCACACATACCTCCGCCAGAGAAGATATACGAGTATAGCTTCACTATTCTCGCTCCCCAGTTCCGCGATGAGTTTGTAAACTGCCTCATGCTAAAGTTCTACCCCGAGCGTATCCTCGAGGAGCTCTACAAGACAGGACATGGTAAGCGTAAGACGTGTGTGCGGGAGATGCTGTCCTCGACTGGGAGGCGGTCACCTAACAAGTGTGCTATGCGAGAAGCAGCGATTGCGATAGGGACATGGTGGTGGGATAAGAAGACAAGGCGGGTGACGTTCAGACTGAAGGAGGGGTGGATTGAAGGATGGCAGGAAGAGGACAAATGGGTAGCTGCGTTGTGGAGATTAGACGACTGGACGATGTGTAGTGCACCGACCAGCCTTGGAGGGGGTAATTTGCAGAAGTCCACTCTGCCCTGGGGGGAGCGGACGAAGATAGGGTGTGGAGAGGCGATGGAAATGGATTAGAAAGGTTGAGGGGGAGGTACGAGTGATCTTTTGTGTATGTATATGATATCATGGTCACGGAATATATTTCTTTTCTGCCTGTGGTATTGTGAGTTTAAAAATGGTCTTTCCTAATTTCTTTGCGAAGAAGGTTCTATTGATTGTGTAATTGAGGTCCCTACAGTCTCTCACTTTCGGTACTGACGGGTTTATTATACCTAAACGCCTAGGCTTTTAGCATATGTGTATTCTTCTTTCAATACGTACCTTTTCCATGCTCAGATCTTATATTCAGATAGCATATATGTTAGAATGAGACCATAAAATAAACTTTCATGTACCCTAAATACTTAATAGGGCTATTAATCTCGGCACACTGATAACTGATTCCAACCAAGATCTTGATTTTATGAACACCTTTCTTCCTCCTTCATCTCTCCATCACATCCCCTCATATTTCTCATCTTCAGATATTCCAATTTCAAAAAAGACATTTAAAATTCAAATTTGAATGTCTCGACCTATCCTGCACCCACCTTAGAGGTGATCGTCGGATCACCTCCAAGAATCCCCTTCCTGCCAAACATGAATGGGTACCTAAGCATCTTCTGCTTCTGCCCAGCGGAGAAGCCATTCCAAAGGAGAAGTCATTCCAAACGATTGTTGGGTCTGATCTCCTCTTGGTTTGAATGAGAAAGAGTATGTCCTTCATTCCCTCAATGCTACTGTATCAGGTTACTAAATTTCACTTTTTTCTACTGCTCAGTCTTGTCCCGAATTCTTGTTTCTGGGGTCCTTGCGCTTCGGACCCTGGATTGATCTGGAGGAAAGAAAAGGCCGGAAAAAGAATTGCCTGCCTGGGTTTATAAAAGGCCAGCAAGTATGTTTCAAGTACCCTATGAAATAAACCGAGCTTTACTAACAAAGATAAAATCAAATAGTAGTAGGTCTTTATCAATAGTATAGATTGGTGGGCCTGCATCACCTTATTGGTGACGTCCTCCACCGACACCACCAAGCGATTCTCTGGTGGTGCGGTCCGCTGAATCTTGAAGATACCCATTAGGGATCTCGTCCCCTATCACTATACAGGTTCAGGTGGAGCCGACACCCCATCCGCTCCAATTGATATGGGGGTGGATAAGCACCCTACCCTTATTATTATGGAGTGGGGGGGTCTAAATGCCTGCCTCAACCTTGATAATCTTATTGTATGTACCTCTTTCCAATAACCACATTTAAAAATGATATTTAACTAATGACTTATCAAACCATGGTAGCTACGGTGTTCCTTACCTCCATGAGATCGACAGATGGGGCCAACATTAACAGCAGCCACCAATTGGGCCGTTTCTGCTTCGTGCGAGACCAAAATCCAAAGCTCACTAGGTTTGGCTCTTGGTCCACTCATGCACCGCTCCTTAAGATCTGGAGGGGGGCAGGACACTATATATCAGGTATGTGTTGCTATTACTCTTTTCCACGATACCATAGCTGGGATTGATATTAACTCTATCTTCACATAGGGCCGGGGGCCTTTTCTTTCTTTAGATGAGCCAGGGAGTGAGGGGCCGGTCGATCCACCTCATCAATTGCTTGGAGTGGGGGGTACCGTTGCAGCTTGGGCATTGGTGTTTAACGCATTTCCACAGTATTGTGGTTTGTTTTGGGAGAAATCAACAGGCCTTCTTAGAATTGTTGTTTCTCTAGTTGCTCGTATTTTTATGTAATTATTAAAGACGTATATTAATAACAAGAAAATTAAAATCTAGAGTGTTTAGTAGTGATAGCCACCGGATATTCAAACTTTATTAGATTGGAATAGATTTTTGTAATAAAATGTGCTTCTGAGTTAGTTGTTGGTTAGATTCGATTTGTCGCTAAATGCTTTAAGGATAACGTAGCAATTTCCGTCCGAATTGCTGCATACCTCAACTATCATCGTCGGCGAAAAAATGTGACACAGGATATCACTCGGTCACTGATCGTCACCAGATCATTTATGCCCGCTTATGAGTTGTCTAATAGATAGAAAAATACCTTATATATAGAATTACTTTCGTGATAATGGTTCTATAAACTTACCTTAGAGAGGGCAATTTACTCCGAGTCGTCTCGCAATACATCTCAAGACAGTCTCGGGGTGTCGATTCTCAAAAAGGTAAAGCTTAAACATAATCCCAGTTCTCCGTGGCGCAATTGGCTAGCGCGTTCGACTGTTATATTCATATGGCATCGAGAGGTTGACAGTTCAAGCCTGTCCGGGGAAGTAAACCCAACCAGCATCTTTGTTTTTTGTCACTCGAGAAGACAGCAGAGTCCCTTTTGATACTGGATGTTTTTCTTTCTTTTTTCTTCTTTACCACAACTAAAAAGAACACTCAAGTTAATTGAATAACTCGAAGATATATAGAACCTACAGTAGGTTTGCCATAACCTCAACAATGAGGGGAGTAATTGGACTGGAAAACTGTATCCTCACTGGCCGAGGTGAGATAATTTGAGTTTTTAAGACTTTCTCGTGTTCATCATCATGGCATGAGGTCTCGGTGTTGTTGATATTTCAAGGACAATTTTTGTGAGACCTTTACGTACTTAAAAGAAACTGCCGTTTAAACTCCGTATAGATCATATCAAACAGTCCAGTAAGAGGGGCATTGGGGTTGCGCCAATATTGCACAACGTCCCAGAAGGCACCAAAATACATAGACGACTTCCCTAGCCACTCGAACACCTTCCTCACTCGAACAGCGGGTGATGATTGGTGAAATAACGGTATAGAAGCCGTTTATAACGAAGACCCTTTCTTTTGCATTAAATGTTCGAGTGTCTAGGGAAGTCGTCTACCTTTTTCGAATCAGTTCTTTAGTCCTCCAGTGTTAGAACCAATTTATTCAGCCATATGGATATACTCGCACCCGAGATCCTTGTCCCTTTGAGGTGTATCTCTGAGATAGATTCATATGATTTCAAGTGCCTAGAAATTCTCAGGGAAGCTAATTATCTTTCCTTTCGAATCTATCCATCTCATCAAAACCTGGACCAATTCGACTATCGATCGTTCGATGTGCCATGATTAGATTTTATGAGGGTTTCCAAACCAATACAAGTAGAAAGAGGGACACAATAACCACATATACTGGACAGTTTGCAAATCATTACAACATCTAGGTCACACACCACGTCGAAGACTCTCGGACCGGCCTCTTCAGGAACATTGCTGGGCCAGACGAAATGGATGGGGTAATTAGGCTTCCAGAGGGTTTACTGCATGCACACTAGAAATATGTCTTGAAATAGGCAACGTCCAGGCGCTGCGTGCGGTTGTTGTATCGAGATAGAAGGTGCGCATGTCGTGACACAATATACACACATAGTCAGTTTTCCTCCTGCTAAACGCAAGCCCTGAGGCATTTTCAAAATGCGCGGGGGAAAGGGAAGATACTAACTTAGTAAATCTCGGAGGGGTAAAATATTTCTTCTCCACTTCCATGTGGCTTTAAAAGAACAATATTCGCCGTACGGAATAGAAATGCCTCCTTTGATTTGGTTAAGTCCGAGCAGAATTCGAATTCGAAAGTCCAAAAGATCTATTCAAAAAGCATATCAGCGTAGAGAAAAAATACGATTGGCTTTGGTCGTTTGATATGTTTGCTCTGTTAGACAATGCAAAAAAAATAAAAGATTTGTGACAGAAGTGGGACTTGAACCCACGCTCGTTTCCGAACCAGGAATTGATGTTAAGAGTAAGACCTTAACCTGGCGCCATAACCAACTCGGCCATCCTGCCATGGGAGAGTAGGTGGTGGAGTAATATTCATTGCGGTGTAACAAGCGCTAAGGTAGAAGAAATTTTATCGGGCTTCATCCTGCGCCTTCACACTGTACATTTTATCATTGCAACGAAGGGCGGCCGAGGAGCGAATGTTGATATCACTGTCTTTTGCAACTAATCCCGAGAAAGCCTAAAGCGGAGGAACTGCGGAGATACGATACCCGGGTTGGATATTAGGGGTAATGATTGTTTCCACAGGATGTTACAGAAAGATTTCTAGCCAGTTATCTTTAAGGGTTACATGTAGTTGCCGACGCTTTTGGCTTTTGTAATAACAGAGCTGCAACCAATCAAACCCCCGGGGTCGGCTGGCCTATAACAGTACCGGGTTCAAGAAGCTGGCCACGCACATGCAGAATCAATAGCATAGCCCCAACTAAATGGGTGCTTTAAAGTACATAGCTCAACGACGACTATGGTATATTTCCCCACATGATACCTATTATGACTTTGCTCCCATTCCGTAGTACTAGTACTTGGATTCGAGGGTTCCGATCTTCTCGGTGAAGGCGAGGTAGAGCCCCTATATAGTTTCCGTCATGCAGCTGTTGAAGTTATGTTATCGGTATCTGTGACTTGATTGAAAGGTCTGGTACCAACCATATCAGAAAGTGATGGGTGTCCAATCAAGAGATATTTTGTTAGGTTTGAACTCTAGCAACCACTATGTTTGGCTTCCAGACCACTGATATTGATAATAATGTGGTCGACTCCAGGCAAGCAAAACAGGGCCAGTGCATCGACTGGCTCGGACTTTCTTGAGTTAGGAATGTGAGCTTCGAATTTCTTGATGTCCCTTGAGGCCTTGACTTTAATTATAGCAATTAAAAAATACATGTATCTACCCATATCTCGTTCGAGCAAAAAATCCCAGGATTAGCATTTAGTAGGCATAAATTGAGGTACCAACTCTATCCCTATATGCCCTAATCAACTGGCTCGAGAACTCGATTCACGAGAGAGTATAAGTAATCCGACGGCTTGAAAACGCTCGAGGCGAGGCACGATGCGCCTCGATTTCGTGGACAGCACTGAGGGACAATTCGACCCGCTGTTCTTTCTTAGCCTCTGATAACATGAAAAGACTTCAAACAAGTAGAGTTAGAAACTAGTAAATGTTAGTTTTAAAAAAAGTAAGAAGCTTTTGGGCGATCAAAAGTCTGGTAGCTGAATACCGAGCACAATTCTCGCTCAGTATGTGGATGGGGGGAGGGTGAGAAACAGGGAAGTCGCAAGTAGAATTGAGAAGATAGAGAAAGATAGAGAAAGTGTAAGGGGTGGCATATGATAGTTGAGGGTGTGGAGGATAGTGAAGGAAGATTGGTGTGGGGGAAGAGAGATATGACGAGTGCTCCAGCCAGTCTTTCACTGGCAGCTAGACAGAAATAACTGACGATGGGATATCTTTCCTACCTATAGCTCTCATGAGAGTATCATAGCCTTCCAGGGCGACTACAGAACGAACGGAACCGAGCAGTTCGGGGAATCGGTTGGAGGGTACGAAAGACGGCCTCCACGGGCGGAAAGTGCGATATCTGGAGGTGTCGGGGCGACAGAGAGTATTCAGTGGCTATTAGGAGTCTTCCCTCTGTAGTTGAAGATATTAGTAGGCATGATAGTAGTAGGTTAGCTAGGAAAAATCGTATAAGGAGAAGGCTATCAGAGAGAGTTGTGCAGTTATATCATGTAGCTGTAGTTTTATCTGGCATTAAATTGAGCAGCTTTAGACCTAACCCTCTTCCTCTAAGTAAGCATCCTTGAGACGGAAAGGGCAGCTCGCGGCCACAGACCACACTGCGGGCAGAGGTGATGAATCGGCCGTGGTACCTTGCCGGAGGAGCTAGGAGCGGATGAGGAGCCGGAGGAGAGGAGTAAGTGCTATTCCTTTCCTACATTCTAACAGGACGCACGGCGCAACAACGGTCTATTCTCAGCGGCGGATGTAAGAGATGTCTCAGATTTTTGGTATTGTCGGTACCAGTCTCTACGAACTTTACAATCTGGATCTTTCGGTATACTCTCTGTCATTTGATTGATTATAGTGCAGGATTAAGTCATCCTTTTTATTTGTTACAGTGATGGGTTAGGATTATGGCAGGCTCTGTGGGCGGCCAGGCGGGCGTGCCCGGCTAGCTCCGGCATGGTAGCATGGGTGCGGTGGTGGTACCTTCACCACATATCACTCGATAAAATGAGTCACGTAAGCGTATTTCTCATCACTGGTTCCCGGTGTAGATTTTGCATTGTATTTCTGGTACTTCTCCACCAGCTATCACTCGGCAGAATATTCTGACTCTTTTGTAGAATTTAGTATCGCTTGCTCTATGGGTTTTGTAAATGCGGTAATATAATATGATTATTCCCTTTTCATTGCACCCAGACGCGATTTCGACACCCACCCAGACTTTCTTCAACAGTGATGAACTGGTCATCATATATAATCTCTAGAAGCAGTATACGTAGCAGAGCCTTCCGGTCGTTATATGGGGTGGTGGTTCTCATTTTGCGGGCGAGAATTGTGTCTCGATCTCTGCTGCCAGTACGTGCGACTATGATCTGATACACCACGAGCTGCCACCGGTTCCCAGATTTACTGTAGCAGTCCCTGGGTTGGATGCCCGAAGTGTGATATCATGAGAACTCTTTGCTAAGTCAGTATTCGGGGACTTTTCGCTCCAGTGATGCCATGTTTGTGGGAGAGTGAATCTACCTATTCATTCCTGCTCCGAGGGTCTACTGCCCAAACCCACAGGTCATTTTCCTGGTGTATGAGCTAGCTTAAAATAATTAGTTTTCTCGCTTCATAGTTTCTTGCTCCTAGAGAAATGGCTGGGTTGTTCGGCACGGCCATTTCCTGGTTGTAATTGTTGCTATAACGTACTTAAGCTGGCCGGAGGTAAGGTTCGTTTCTCTTTCGCTCCATAGCCCTTTATATGGCTACTCGTAATTTACGTAGCCACGCCTACATAGTGTAATACCAATTCTCCCATCCACGTCCGGTGCAAAACCAACTTTCCCATCCACGCCCGGTGTAAAACCAATTCTCCCATCCTCTTCTGACCAGTTATCTACATCTTCCTCCGACCCATCCCGTCCCATCCCATCCACATCCCGCTCTTTCTCTATTATTACCATCATTGATTCAGTTCATAACCTGTTTGGCTCAATCCACAATTGTACAACCTTATTGTTTAAACCGAAGCCTCATAAATCAATCCTTCTCTTGAGTCTGTGGCCGGTAGGCGCCTAGGGTAATAACTCAGTCAAATCATCTTAACCAAACCTTCGTACCGTAAACCATCGTGTGCGAAATGTCGAACTACTCAGCAGACATCGTCGGAGTTGCTGAACGGGAAGTGCTGGGGGAAGTTCCGAACTTCAATGAGAACAAGCCTAGACATAAGGAGGCAGCAGAAACTCTATTGGCTTTAGGAGAATCGAGAGGAAGTACCAATGAAGACCTTCATGGTAATCTCGGCCCCATTTCTTCAGAAAGTCTTCAAACAACTAACGCCCCCGTGGATGTAGAGTCGAACGAAACAATAGTACCAGCTGCCTCTTTACCAGAAAGCCATACTACGCGTTCGGGACGCACTAATGATATATCTTTAGAGATTAAACAAATAGTATCAGCTGCCTCTGGAACACCATCCCCTCAATATAAGCAGCCAGGACCCTCCACAGGGCCTACAACCGTCAATTCCTTTTCAACTCCTACGACCAGCCAGACCGAAAAACGTCCACGAGCAGCTCCAGGTGAGAAGAAGTTCCTTTGCCAAGTCGAGAACTGTGGCAAAGGATACACCACAAACAGAGCGTTAAAAACCCACGGAAAGGTCCATCTTGATAACACTCAAAGCCATGAGTGTAATAAGTGTGATAAGCCTTTTCCTACTAAGGCGGCTTTGAACAAACATAAATCGACAGATCACCGTGGCGAATTCAAATGTAGCTTGTGCGACAAATACTTCGGCCTACGTGCAGGTATACGGAAGCACATTCAAAATGATCATCCAGAAGTGGACGTAGCGGATACTTTGGTTGGAATTCATCTGAGACAGGAATTTGGCCGCGCCGTCAGCATCTTCCTATGCAATGTTTGTCCCTGCTGGAATACCGACAAGTACTTCTTCAAGACTCATGTCGCAAAACGCCACAAAAGTCAAGGAACGGCTGCCACTACAGAAAAGTGTCTTGCCGAATCAAAGGAAAGAGATGATGCTCGCTTCAACTCATACACCTGTACTCTTTGCAGGTGGAGGACTCCTCACATGGAAGCCATCAGAGATCATGTCGAGGCAGCTCATCCTAGCGAAGACAAATATCGAGTGTCCGCAGCTATTCTCGGCACCATGAAAGTCGAAGAAATCCCCTACGAACGTGTCGACAAAAGATATAAATGTCACCACTGCGATCGGTACGTCGGTAAATCGGATCATGCACTGTTCCTTCACATCAAAGAGAGGCACGAAGAGTGGGATGTGTACGAGCTTCAACTACGTTCGTTGATGGGCATGGATTCTGCAGACTTGCTTCCCCAAAGAGGCGTGCCGTGGTTCGAATGCAACTTCTGCCAGCAATCGAGGAGGCGTCTCGCCAATATTAAACACCACATCCGACGAGTTCACAAAGATGATAGAACAAATTTCAAAGACAACTCCGGTGGTCAACCATCTTTCTGGACCGAGTTATCGGAGGCCGAGTCAAAAGTGCTAGAAGAAGTCGAGGCCAACAGGAGAAGAAAGCTCGGGATTTCGGATGACAAAGACAGCGAGGATGGAGAGGATGGCGAGAATAGCGGAGAGGACGAGGACGAGGACGAGGATGAGGATGGAGACGATGAGGACGGGAATGGGGGCGATGAGGACGGGAATGGGGACGAGAATGGGGACGAGGAACCGATCAGGAAGTTTAGGAAGGTTGAGAATATTAGACAATCTAAGGGATTATCTAAGAGCGGGTGATCTTATCAACTATTCAGATTTCTTATATGATAGAGATCTACGGTGTACCGTCTTCTATATGGGGGTGTTTCTATGTCTCCTTTTTTTCGGGGGAGATATAGAGTTGATTAAGTGGTTATTTGAGTGAATATGGAGCCTTATTCGGGATATGAACCAGGCGTCCTATTTAGCTAAAATCAAAGAAATATTAGCTAAATTTCCCTTATATCATGAATTGGAGGAAAAGAATCTAAGGCGCCTTGTACGATGATATCCATAAAAATCGTAAGATCGGCTGGAAAACCGAAGTACTACATGTAGGCCACACCCAGGTACGTAAGATTTCAAATAAGTGGTGCGAGAGGGATACAAGTAGAGACATATCTTTCTCCTATCATAACACCCACTTCATCAGACGTCCAATGCTAGGCTTGAATAAAACTTCCTTCCGTAGCACTATTTGCTGCGAATATAAACTTCCACAAAAAACCGATTACAATGCAAGCTGAGCATAAAAGCCTACCTGTATAGTATTGTCACAGTTTCTGCAGGTTATGCTACTTCGACGGTGCCTTTTATAGCTATTAAAATTTCCCGCAAGTTAGTGCTAGTTTTGGCCGGAATTGGTAGCCAGGCTTAGTTTACTTTTCTATATGAAACTCAACTTTACCTTTTATTCACCCCCAGGCACTTACCATTTTGTTGTGGCACGAGGCCCGTATAAATCTAGCTTCTCAGTAGTTCTTTTCCGGAATCTGCCCCTCAACGGGCGTTCGCCGTTGTTACACTCTCAAGATAGCGGTAACTCTCGAGCTCATTAATATTGAGGGACGCCACTAGCTAGCGGACTACTCTGATTTCTGTCTGGTGCCCAGGCTTTCAAAAATATCTCTAAATTATCACACATTACTCGGGCAATAATGCACATGATTTCATCGATATGTATATACATACACCACCACCCACTTATACCCCATATCCACTCTTCTCGCCTTCTAAGCTCACCCCTTTCCCTACCTCTCCGCATCCTAATACTCCATCCAAGGTCATTTCTTCGTCGCCCGCCACTTCCCCGGCCTTCTTCCAAAACTTACTTAGATGCCTAGTCCCCGAGTCACATAGAATAGTGACCACCCTATGTCCTGGGCCTAGTTTCATCGCCGTCCGCACAGCAGCAACACAGTTCACTGCGCTGCTACTACCTACAAAGAGACCTTCTTTCTCTACAAGTAATCTTGCCATCGCTAACGCTTCATCATCAGTTACACGGATAGCATCATCGACATAGGGGCGGCCTGCTTCGAAGTTGGCAGTGACACGATTGATACCAATGCCTTCTACTATGGTGTCAACCTGAGGTCGACGCCGAGTACCTTCCCGCTCTTTGATGTCAAACATGACGCCGTACTTGACACGGTTGTAGAGGCCGCTTCCCTGGGGATCAGCCAGCACCACACGAACACCCTCAAGACGTTCCTTTAGGTACTTCCCCACGCCGCTCAAGGTTCCGCCAGTTCCAGCGCCTGCCACAAAGGCATCGACACGACCGCCGCATTGCTGGTATATCTCTGGGCCTGTGCCCTCGTAATGCGCCTTCCAGTTCGCGGGGTTCTCAAACTGGTCCGCGAAGAATCCACGCCCAGGTTCTGTCTCCGAGGCTGTCTGGGCAGCAGCGAGAGCGCGCGCACGGTTTACAAATTGGCCTTTGTCGACTATGGGAGCTGGAGGCACAAGAGTAACCATGGCACCGAGCTTCAGTAGAAGGGAAGACTTCTCTGTGGACTGGTCATTTGGCATACAGATATGAGCAAGGTATCCGCGGGCGCGGCAGATAAAGGCCAAAGAGACGCCGGTGGAGCCCACGGTGCCTTCATACACTTTGTCAGCGCTGTGAGGAGTGAGAAGATTAGCCTCTTCGGCCTAACTAATTTATTAGTATTTCTTTAGTATTCCGGGAAGATTGGGTTGTGACAGAAAGAGCAAAGCGCAAACGAAGTAAAGGAAACCAGAGAAAGGTTATTACAGTTTTTATAAGCTTAAGCGCCACTCGGTCTTTCACTGAACCACCGGGCTCCAGGAACTATTTTTTCCATTAGTAAATATTGGGACACAAACGAAGTAAACGGTATATAATACTTCAGCTTTACCTAGAATCTCACAGCCCGTAGCTTCGGAAAGATGTTTTATTCGGATCAAAGGGGTATTTCCGATGCAATCTTCGAGTCCATTTCTTATATCTTCTTTTAATACTTGGGATTTTTTTGTTGAGTCTTGTCGTCGGTGTGAAGAGATTGTCTGAACTGCGAGAACGGCGCCAGCGCCGATGACTATTCCGCTAAGGAGGAGCTTTGTTTGATCGTATCTGTCCATTTGCCTGTAATTTTGAAGATTATGTGGTCGTGAAATGCAAAAAGAAGATGCGAAAAAAGAAAGGGAACGAGAAAAGACTCGATTATGAGACTTGATTAGCAGACTTGAGGCGTGGGGAAGCTTGTGACGTCGGTGATGGTGGGGAGCATGCGGGCCGCAGCGATCAACCCCACCACCTGTTGCAACGATCTTTTTGTGGCTCCCCTTTTCTCACCCGCCGAACATCAATGGATTCCCCGTTTGTGTCGTCCCTTTTCAGATCTCTGTTTCATCGCAGAGCTCACCTGCGGCTTCGCGCCGGCCTCAATGGCTATTCTCAGCGGCGAAACCTTATGGGGTTTAAACTCCCTGTTGCGCCTGACAGCGACAAGAATACATGGCAGCCGCGGAGCACATTCCTCCAACGGGACCGCTCAGAGGAATATGAGCGATACCCTATGGTGACCGCACAGCAATTGGCCACCCGTACGGAAAGGCCCAAGAGGGTGAAGATGCTTGTGCGGGACTTTATCGACGGTGTGTCCCCGTCGCAGGAAGAAGAAGATCTACGATCTATTTCCTAATCACCGTATACATATGATCGTTGCAGACAGCTTATACAACCCCAACTACGGCTACTTCTCCAAATACGCCGTCATCTTCTCCACCCCGCACGCCTTCAACTTCCCCGCCCTCGTTGACGAATCCGACTTCCAGCGTAATCTCGGGGAGGCATACACGGCCTTCGAGGACGCGCTCGATGCCACGCACCCCTCCGACATCCGCCAGCTCTGGCACACACCCACAGAGCTCTTCAAGCCCTACTATGGCGAAGCCATCTCGCGGTACCTCGTCGAGAACTACAAGCTGTCGCTCTTCCCCTATAATGACCTCATCATCTACGAGATGGGGGCCGGGAATGGCACCATGATGAGTAATATTCTAGACCATATCCGCAATACGGATCCCGACGTCTATGCACGTACAAAATATCGGATCATTGAGATTTCGCCGTCTCTTGCGGAGCTGCAGAGTATACAGGCATCTCAAGGTCCACATGCGGACAAGATTGAGATCATGAATAAGAGTATATTTGACTGGGATACTTATGTTCCTGATCCTTGCTTCTTCCTCGCGCTCGAAGTGTTCGACAATTTCTCGCATGACATGATCCGTTACGACCCCGAGACGGAGCGGGCCCTACAGGGTATCGTAATGATTGACAAGCAAGGGGACTTCCATGAATTCTACACGCCCCATCTGGACCCGGTAGCAGAGAGGTTTCTAAAGATCCGATCCCGCGTTGCAAGGCCGGGATTCCAGCATCCTCTACGGACCCCAAAGATCATAAGAAAGCTGAGAGAGGCACTGCCATTCACGCCAAATTTAAGCAAGCCTGAATTTATCCCAACGAAGATGATGGGCTTTTTTGACGTACTGAGGGAGAACTTCCCAGCACATAAGCTGCTCATGAGCGACTTCCACGCTCTACCAGATGCAGTGGAGGGCGTAAATGCCCCCGTAGTGCAAACAAGATATAAACGGACTAGTATTCCTGTTTCGACGCCTTTTGTAAGTGCTTGCCATAAGTCTTGAATGGAATTAAACTAACCGTTAGCAGGTGCAGCAAGGCCTCTTTGACATTCTCTTCCCCACAGACTTTGACGTGATGGATGACATGTACAAAGCACTGACGGGCCGCCTCACCAGAGTCATGAAGCACGAGGAGTTCCTAAAAAGCTGGGCGTTCCTAGAAGAGACGGAGACGCAGAGCGGCGATAACCCGATGCTCAACTGGTACAAGAACGCCTCTGTGATGAGTTCTGTTTAGTGAGCGGGTAATAATCTCTTCCCTTTTTTTGTAAATACCAAACTGGAATCTTTTTATGTGGGGAGTGGTGTTCAATGAACTTATTATTGTGGTGGAAATCATGTTATCCCGTATTAAACATTGAAAAACCGGTTCTGGGAGTAAAAGTCTACCTAAGAATTGAAAATTAAGGGGAATAGATACATTTATATACGTAATGCACGCAGTGCACCTACAAACAGAAAAGACTCTAAAACAGTATCGCCACAACCCGTGGTCTCTTTGTGTACAAACCTTCCCCCCTCGCCTACTCCTGTACAATGCCTTATTTACTAAATGTAATCCATAGCCAAAACCTGCACAAATCCCGATACCCAAATATTGCCGGTAAACAAAGAAGGATACGATTTCCTACTATACAGAAGTCGTTTCGAAGAAAACCACTTGCAAGACGGACCAGCCCGAAAAATGATCAGGAGAACCAGAAACAGCTAGTTTTACAACCGGTTACTCTGCACGTGTGACGGGGCGTCGGAGTGATGTCTCATGAAGCTGTTACCACTCTCTGCGTGTCACGGGACAGGAATCATGCATTATCACTCTGTGCCATCCCACCAGGCATCGCAGCCACTACTTGTAGCTCGTCGATTCCATTCTCTGGTTTTCTCACCCAAGTATTATTATTGCGATTATTACAACCCATCATTCACCCTTGTGAACCTGAGCATCAAACTCTCACTACGCAACCTTCCAAGATCACTCCGAAATTATCACACGAACCAATACAAACTGCACGAAAAGGTCTAAAAGAACCACGCACACTCAATTTTTCAACATCGACACATTCGGCCCGCGGCCCAGCTTACCAGGAACCGACAACATCATTCAGCATACGTAAAATCCATACTCATCACCGACCATCCATCCATCCATCCATCCCTTCAGAGCTACCGTCACACAAAAAACAAAGAAACGAGAGAAAAAGAAAAAGAGAAAAAAACGCCCTGTAACTACTTTAGATACCTCAGGGACAAAATTAAGAACTGAGAAAAATTTAGAAAGAAAAATGTCCAAACTAAAAACACACACAAACCTCCTAACCCCCGACTTCCTAGACCAGGACTCAGAGCACTTACTCCATGTTACGAAGGAGATTGGAAGAGGAAGAAAAAACGCTCAACTACTAGTACCTCCAAGGCCTTATAAAGGGAAAAGATGGCAAAAGAAGAAAAAGGTTGCCGTGAATCCCCTAACTTAATATACATAAAACGGGGGTGCACCTCTCCATCTAAAAAAAATAGATGAAGAAGTGCACCCCCAAGTGTGATACTGATCTGAAGATAGTTTATTTTTCGTTTTACTTTTTTTTAGCTGTACGTTTTTGAGGAGAAATCTATGAGAATTTCCACCGGTGACCGCAGAGCTCACATGTACAGAACTGAAAATGGATGTTAGCACAATACAGCTAGGTTCGGAGATGGGATGAAACTCACAGTAGTCATCGGCTCATCAGCGGATCTGGTCTGAGCTTGTGTGTACGATACTCTCTTCTTCCCACACTTTCCGCAGGTAAGTTGATCACTGATACTCTTCTCGCTCTTTGGCATCATGGAATCCTTTTCATTCTGGGCAATAATTTGCTGATCCTGTTTTCTTCGCTCAGCACTGGCCATTTCTGAGGTCTCCATAGTCGCCAGACGCTCAGGTGTGATTTCACCCGACACGACACGGATGCGAAGGTTATTCTTGGTGTCCTTTAGGTTGAGGAACAGGACCTGCATGCGGCGACGGTACGGCTGGTCGGTCTTGGACTTGTTACTCGAAAATACCGACACCTCGACAGCTTTCGCAAGAGTGAAGATATGGTCGCTGCTCGCATCCGACTCATGGACAAGAGCGTCATACATTGCGCCGATACAATTATTCCTGACCTGGTCGGAGGTGATCGCCCAGGTGATTTTATCTGTGGTCTTGTTCCTCTTGCCTGGGTCCACCTTGCTGTTGCTATCCGGCTTCTTGCCCGACGGCTTAGGAGGAGACCTTGGGTTAAACTCGGTAGTCGGAGAGGCTGTTGAGTTGCGCTCCTTCTTGACGTCAGAGGTTGAGCCGGGCTTTGTTTTGCTATGCACGTCTTTCTTCCACTTCGCAACAATCTCCTTCGCAAGTTCCGAGACGGTCTTGTCGGGATTCATGCGCAGCTTATTAACAGCCATTCCGACTTTAGTATCCTGCGATGGAACGAGTTCGAGTTAGTACAGGGTGGAGAAAAAAGAGACGGCATAAATTGGTTTCTAAATTTATCGCTCATTCTCTATGGAATTGTGGTGGAAGTTTCCCATCTATTCTATAGCAATTTGCCGTCATAAAGGGGTGGCATACTCTCAACAGCTGCTCGGTGGCCACAACCTCCTTTTTCAGCGCGCCCAGGATATCCAGCAAGTACTGAGCGGGCAGCTTCTCCTTGACTCCCTTCTCCAGATTGCTGACGTGCGCCTTGACATCCTTCGCGTCCATTTTTTTTGTTTTTTTGTTTTTGCAAGTTGGAGTGTGAGTAAGCAAGCGAGTGTGGGCGAAGAGAGACCGTTGTTGGCTTTGTCTGTGTCGTGTGCGTAGCAGTTAGCAGGCGATGAAGGTCACGAGGCTGAGCCCAACGTTTTGTCGCGCGACGCGGTGATTCTGATTGATTAGGAAAGGACCGGAGTGGAATGAGCGCGGTGATCGCGGAAAAAATGTGTATGGATGTTCTCGCCGACGCGAGGGGGTGAAGATGGTGATGAGGAAAGAAACAGACTGCGCAGGACTGACGCCTTCCAGGACGTTCCTTTGATGGTCAACGTATGTCGTTTAGACTCTTCCTGCACGTGACTCGCGCTCTCCAGTTGAATTGGCGTTAGGGCATGGGGCTCGAGTGCTGTTAGTAATCGATCATGGAAGGTCACTCGCTCGCGGAGTCGGCTAGTTCTTGTGCGAAGCCCCATACAAATCTCACGCAGGCTTTAGTAAGTGCATGCAGTTGTAACAGCGCTATAGCTAACAACCCCATCTTACTTTCCCTTCCCCTTCACCCCCAAATGAAAAGCATGATATGTCATCTTATGTGGAGCTTCTAAAAAATAAAGAGCGAGTACACTGGCCTCTGAGGGATGGTTACAGGTAATTCTTATTGTTTCACGTCGACTCTATCTAGCAACTTCCCTAGCTTCCGGATCCGGCGCCTTCAGATACCACCCTCACCATCTAATCCGAAGACTCTGCGTTTTTCATTCTCACAATAATAACAATTATATCTCCACTTCGTTACCTCTATATTCGGAACATGCATGTTCGGGATCCTTTTGTTTCCCCCGAGTAAAGTGTACTAAGGGGATCTACCAGAGCTTGATGCAGAAATGATTGGAATGCACTAAAACCAATCCCGATCATTGATACCTCAACCCTAACCCTCACCACTGGGTTCACCGCATCTTTTTTTTTTTTTTTTGGTTTAACTCATTAATTGTATGCAACCCGTAGGTTATGACAATATCGCCCTGCCCCAGAACTACCCTACATTCGCCTCCATCTCAACAATAAAGAAAGAAAAATAACTATTTAAAAATAATTTGTGTCATCTCTCTTTTTCCCCCTTTACCCCTTGGGCCAATTATGTTTTTCCCCTCGTAGCTTCTGGGTTCACCGCATCTAAATCAAGACAATATATTTTATATAAAAGACTGCACGTATGTTATATGTTCCTCTGCTTAAATTAAAAGTACATAGACGTATGCGGAACCCGTTTTCTTTGTCCTCACGAATGCACGAACAAAGAGGTCTACCAGCCACATACCCTAACTCGGCCGAGCTCAGTCTCTCTTTGCCCACGCATACGGCCTAAATCCCAGAACCAGCGGGCCACGTCGCTTGCTCCCGTCCACCTGGGTCCGGAAATACTGCTTGCAGATATCGTCGAGTGTTGTGAGGAGCGTTGTTTCCTAGTGAGTACAGGCACCACATTAATTCTCGGAATGGATGAGGAAGAGGGAAATCACGAACCTCATGATACCCCCAGATATTCAACACATACTCGTCCTTCGAGTTATTATACCCCCACCCGGCACTTAGAATACCTTTTATGGCCTCATACATCTCCCACGCCGGCCTTTTCGCCCACAACGCCGTCGACAGCAACGGCTCATTCATCTACTCCCCCTCTCCATCAGCACCCCATAATCTTCCACCCACTCAATCCAAGAGCAACCAGAAACTCACCTTCGCAGCCGCCAACCTCCCATTCATGAGCCTCCCCCCATGATCCACCGACCCCGGGAACACCGGAAAATACTTCCCACGCCACACCACAATCACCGGATATGGGTATGTATTTGTCTCATCGGGTGCCGTGGGCCCACGGGCCTCCGCGGCTTTGATCTTGATCAGACTTGCGGCTATGAGCGGCGGGATGACGGTCGGGTTGGTCTCGACGATCGAGCTGGAGGCGGGGAGGAGCGGGACGGGGACTAGGGAGGAGACCCGGCGGCGGCGGTGCGAGCGCGAGGTGATTACAGAGTTGAGGTGCGTTCTATTTGGGTTGGGTGTCATTGTGCCGGTGGGTCTTTGGGGTGCGTTTGGATATTGGTGGGGAGGGATACGGGAGGGTATATATTGGGATTGTTCTTTGTTTGGGCTTTGGTGGCGGAGGTGGGATTGGGTGGTGTAAAGAGGGAAGTCTTTATTGTGGAGTGAGAGCTGGAACAAGGCTTTGTGGTGATGGGAAAGCTTGTATCTGTCTCGTAGATGGTCTATAGACCATAGTTTTAGTAGCTACCAAGTAATGACCACGGGAAGCTTAGTTACACTCTCCAAAACAGCCGTGAGATCCTATACTTACTGCAACGGCAAAAGTTGTCCAGCCGAGTGACTATACCTTCCTGATATCAATATCCATCCATTCAAGTCGGCCCGTAGCAGTTTTCTGCCAAACCTCCAACGGCCATACTAAAGTAGGTCACTGCACAGCTAGCTGCATAAAGCATCGATATTGAAAAGTTGATTATCAATATTTTTATCATTATCACCCCCCGTACCAGTCCACAGGGATTCGTGTTCGAAATTTCGAGTAGGATAGTTAAAATAGCACCCCAAGCCATAGGTCCCGAGTGTAAGGAGAGAGGAAAAGATCCTAGATCCGATAGACCGTGTGCACCTGTGGCGAGAATGTACCTGTGCCGAGAATCTTATCTGATCTACATAGTAAAGACAGCATCTTGGCCATCATTTGGAGTAAATCCCTAGAGATCAGATAAGATGCTCGGCACAGGTACATTCTCTCCACAGGTGCACACGGTCTAATATGCTAAGCTCAGATGATTTCCTGATTTTAAAGGAGATCTGATTAGGACTCGGCAAAGATAAGAAAGTCAGATAATCCCAGCGAGCCCCCCTGCGTTAGGTGGGGTTTAAGATTGAGTAAGGACATGAAATAGCAAGTGAGCGTTCGGTTTAACTTGGGAAGTACATTGTAATCTCAATAGTTACCGTCACTGTATCAGCGGCCCAGGTTCGAATCCTGGGGCGGGGGGTTAACGTATGGGTGGTTCCAACCATCCCAGCCTAACTTTCTGCAGTTTTTGCTGCCGTTTTTTCTAAAGCCAACCCTTACCGCATCAAGTCGGCCAGTTGTTTTTTCTCATGTACATGTAGTGATGATACATAGGCCAGGAACGAAACCCACCCGCCATGACCGGCGATACCGAGTGACAACCTATGACCCTGATTAATACCACACCACACAACCCCGTTTACCAACAACCCCGACCACAATGGCATCCACAAGCACAAACACAACCATAGTTACAGCCTTAAGTCAAGCCGCAGTCAAGTCTCTATGGGTGAGTTATCTAGATCATGATGTGCGAATTCAAACCTACGCCCCCAATGGTGCGGGGGAGAAGTCATTGTTATGCCGATTACCGCAGTCAAGTGTAGATCCCCCCAATGGGCAAATGAATTACCACCTCCCTTTTTTATATCTATATCGGACACCAAATAATCAAACCGGAGACTCAATGAGCCGTCCCCACTTCTTTAGAGCTAGATTCGCCCACTCCAAGGTGTGTGTACCTATTACGACTACCGCCATGTGGACGGGGTGGAGCGTAGGTTCAGTCTACTGATATTACAGAGCACGAAAACACCAGGTGATTTCCCGGCTGGGATATTTATGTCTGCAGAAAATACAAGGTTTGGTGGGCACCATCTGATTCCTGCGGGTCTAAATCAGGAGGCGGAGATGAGTGTGAAGGGATAGTCATCGAAGATAGATTGGAACACCGGCGGGTGACTTTGGATGCTGCACTTCTCCATGGATAGACTTCCGTTAACATCTCCCGGCCAGGCACCTCCGCCGCCCCTGGCTCCCGGTGCAGACTAATATTTAGATCACACGATGCAACCACAAAAGTAAAACCCAGCTAGCTAATATAGTATCATTACTCTTCAACCAGTCCTCTCCTCTCCTCTCCCCATCCCCTCCCCTCTCAACCGTTATCATAGCAATCCCGCTAAGCCAACCAACACACCCAAAACCTCCAGAAACGCCGATCAGTTCGAACGCAAGCTACAAACACAAAACAAGGAAGCAAGTCACAAACCGCCAATGGAAAGAGTAAAAATAAGAGACGGCAAAAAGAAAGTAGAAAATAAAAATAAAAAAAAGGAAAACCCGCTTCGCCTCCAAGGGAGGAGGGGGAGATGGGTTGACATACAAAAGGAGGGAGGGGGTGTGAGGGGGTTGAGACGTTGTAGGTTTCTCACATCCAAACTATATAAAAGAACTAGAACTAGAACTATGGGCCGAGATACGATGAGCAGAGTGGTGATGGCAGTAATATGGCTGATGGGGGGAATAGATGAAATGCTAATAAGTATACAACGTATTCGGTAGGTTTGAGGTAGGCATAAAACAAAGATAAAAGTTTCAGTACCCTACTCTATAGCTTCTAGACTTCACCGTCAAGGAGCAGGTACTGTAGGATATCACTTAGTGTTAAAACTCCTTTAAAGACGTTGTGGCTGTCAACTATCATAAGTCTGTGCACACGGGAACGGCGGATTGTGTCAAAGATGGCATCTAGACGGTCTTGGGGAGAGCATGTATGAATCCCGGGGAAGTCCTGGTAGTTATTAGACATAGAACTAGAAGGAAGAGGGACGAAAAGCTTACATCGGGGCGCTTCAAAAGAGCTTCTCCTACACTAAGGTTGAGTTCTTCATAGCTACCTCCTTTGATGAGAGTTAAGACGTCGACAGACTCGTAGATATTTAAAAGCACTCCTATACACCCACATGAATGCCCATCCTTGAAATATTGAGGGGAAGGGAGGAGACATACCTCTGTTATCCACAATTGGCACACTACTAATGTCTTTCTCGACCAATTGATGGATAACATTGATGACCGGCGTCTCCATATTCGCCGTGCTCACATTATCATAAGTTCCAATCCCAAGTTCACTTATCGGCTTACGCAGCATCTGCGTTTCACGCACATTTACCGCCACAAACTTAAGAATACGAAATTGGGTCAAAACAGACACAACCATCTCCTGCTGCGTCTCGTCGTCAAGATCAATTAACGGAATACGGCGAGCGCGAGACTTTAGCATGCGCCTACAGGCATCGTAGAGAGGCACAAGTGGGTGGACGGAAACAGTTTCAATTGGAGTAACCCCGATGGCCCTCTCGATATCTACCCGCACACACATTAGCACAATTTCAATCTAGCCCAGCTTCACATGATAAAAAAAAAAAAAAGAAAAGAAACCCATACCTCTCAAACTATCCAACTTGAATCCCTCAATCTCCTCAAATTTCTCTGGGTACTGCCAATAATACTGGATGACATTGATATAGTCCGAGCTCGTAAGCAATCCTGCAAACGTCGATGTCTTTGAATTCCATAATGGTGCCGACACGATTCCTACACCGGCCGCTTTAGCTTTCTACTCCTCTCTCAAACATTCCGGAGGAGGAGGAGGAGGAGGAGGCTCATTTCCTACTAACCATTGTGCACAAGAATATTCAGACTCTTTTTAACTAACAAACTTGTGTCCAACACCACAAGCCTAAAACTGACCGGTAATACGTCATAAGTAGTTCTGACCTTCAGAAAGTCGCGGATAGCACGCTGCAACGGAGGTCAGTAGCTGCTACCTGAGCGCCTCGCAACGGGGAAGAAGGGGGGGAGTCATACCAATCCCTCAGCCTGCTCCTTATCGACGATGTCTATGGGCTGCTGCTGGCGATTCTGCTTCTGCTGCGGGCGCAGGAAGGACGATGGGTTGACTGGACTTGGAGGCCGTGGGAGAGAACCGGGAGCAGCTTCAGACATGGTTCTTTACGGGGTTTTCCAGAGCCCAGCAGCAGGCGCATTGATGGGTGGAATGTAGCGGGAAGTGGGGTGTGGGAGATCCAGAATATGGGGGGTGGGTGGAGGTTTATGTTGAAGGAGGAGGTGGAAGTGGGAGGTGAAGTGAGATAGATCGTCGACTTCCAGTCTAGTCCGTCCGGGAGGAGAGTTGGAAGGTTGCGTTGGTAGGATGATGTGTAGCGATCGCTAACAGATGCGGGAAGTGTGGGGGAAAGTCGTGGAACTAGATAACTTTTGGCGGGGGTTCCGGAGGAGCGTGGAGCTCGCGTGTTGCGGTACGCGCGATAATCTTCTTTCCCGATACTGTGCTCCTACTCTACAGTCTATATATGTTTTTCTTCTGCGATACGATACCTAGGTACATGTTACTCAACATACAGCTCCCCCGAATACATACATGTGCTACTACATATGTCATACAGCAAAGGGTACAAGGTAATATGCATTATGGCGACAGCCAACTGCAAGTGCTCCGCATTCCACACGTCCATTTGCGCCTGGGATCGCGACGAGGATTCTCTTAATTAAAGATGGAGCCGCCGATATCACAAGGAAAATCACAGTGGAAAGATTAATCAGGTTGTTGCGCGCAAATGATAAATCAGCAGATATGAAAAGTGATCTCTCCATCATGCACCAATACGCAACCGTAGCGAGTACATGTGTTTACTCCACAGACTGTAGGTACGTACTCCAATCTATGTACTCGGGAAGTAGACCGAGTCGCCATTCTCAAAACTCCATCCATTCCTAGACTTCACAATGCCCTTTGTCCTGGTTACGGGGTAATGATAATTCGAAGCGCGCTTAAGGCGTGCGCGTGTAGCGCATGGTGCTTGCTACATACTTCCTCTACACATACGATCCGAGTGTTAGAGTATAAAAATATCTTGAAGCAACACAACACCCAATATGAGAAAATGGTGAACAAATCTCCCCATTTATCAATTCCTGACATCGTGCACGTTTATGCCCGCTCAATCGCCCGACAAATCGGTCTAGTCATTGATTTTCTATGCTGTAAAGGTTTAACATCTTTACAGAAAACCAGTTCCTTTTTAAGGGAATGTTATACCAGAAATAGAAAGGAATAATTAATCTCGATACAAGCCAGAGAAACTTTTTTCAGAGCCCGAGTGTTTAACTCCTGAGTAAGAAGATAATAGAGCTTTCCCCGCGAATTCTCCGAGCATTATTACACCTTGAATTATGCTCAATTGACACCGCTCATAATCCGTCTATCGTTTCGAGCGAGCACGGTCAGTACATGTAGCTATATGAAGGCTTGCTTCCAGCCCTTAGTTACGTGACTGCTAATTTGTAGTGCGGAATAGACACGGGGCTGCAATGATTCTCGGTAGGAATTGAGCGTCGAAGGTAATGGCTAGAGCAGTCATGGTCTTGACGGCCGGAGTAGAAGTCATGGTGTGAACGCAAACTTAAGTAGCAGAGCACCAGAGTTTTACGTCTCTGTCAATTTTGGAGTACAGGGCTAAACTCTATCTCAATCACTCATCAGGCCGCTTTCCATGGTAGCTGGTCTTCTGGTTGTGATGTTTTCTTGTACCTGCAGCTTGTATAAAACGTCGGGTTTTGTTATTTTGATCATGGCGCTTTAAGTTTAGATTTCTCGTCGTATTTGTATCGTAGCTGGTATGGTGGATGCAGATATCTGGGTTGTGGTCCTCACGACTTGATGGTGCTAGTATAACGTTCACCATTTGTACGCGAAATATATTGGCTCAAGGGCACGTTTGGTCCTAACCAGTGAATGGATCCTTTTATACGAGGAACGAAAGCTGGTGTAGCATACCCCCCGTGGCTGGTGCGGGTCTGTCCACCCGGGTGCTTCCCACCCCGGCTAGCACAGTTACCTCCCACCTCAAAAGACAACCAGGTCTGTACGTCTTTCTTCACCTAGACCAAGATAACCGAACGCCAGCTAGTGGTACCTTTGCGGCTTCATTTCCTAGGTTAGATTTATGGGCACTGACTGGATGACCGGACATACATGTATATGTTATATACTTAAGATATACATATGCAACTACGATGAGAAGACGGTGTTGTAATGTGCGTACGCAGCTACGTGACATCTAGTTGCGTCAATCAAAGGTCGAGGTGTTTGCTCGCAGACCTCTCTCTATCGTCTCCCAATCGACCTAAGCCCACCCAACGTTCGGGTGCACACATACTATGCCTCCCGCTCCCACCAGTTCCATTCTATTCTCTGTAGCCATGCCCACACATACGCGCACCCACAGCATATCTCACTCTCCCACACTTGCAGCGAAAGCGCCCCCAGATAAAACTGCAACACCCCACCACCACCACACACAAACAAAAATCAACCTCCATCCCAACGCACAATCCGTTGCTTTTTCTTCTGTCTAAATCTCTTCCTTCATTCCCACGATTCTGCCCCAGCATCAATCTCTGATGGCGGCAAATCAGAGGACCACCAATGCTGTAAGTTCCCTCGCACCGGCCCACCGCATCTCTATACTAATACAATTTCTAACATAGGCGGAGCTCTACCCTCTCGTTATGGCAGATGTCATCGACGCGGCCCGCACCACCTTCGAAGACGCTGGTATTCCCTCCTCTCTTCTCGCCGAGCTCGAATCGGTAAGTTCAAGTGTCCCTTCCACCAAGAATTGCAGGGTTAGGGTTCTAGTTGCGCAAAACCCGCCAGACGATCATTGACTACCCGAAACAAATAAATACAAATATTAAATAGCTAATCCCAACTCCCTTTACACAGCTTTGGAAGCAGAACCTCACAGAAGCAAATATCGGCGAGCTCTTCCCCTGGGAGCCCAAGCCCCCTTCTGCTTCCGCTTCCCCGGAACCCGAGCCCGAGCAAAGAAAGCCGGACAGGCGACGTATCCTGCGGCCACCAAGCCCAACGCCGCCCGTGCCAGCGGAAATGCCCCAGCACCCAACGCTACCTTTTCCCACAACAGCCGGCAGACCAGAGCTCCCGCCATCCTTCACCTCGCATATTCTCAGCACGCACACAAAGTCCGAGATCGCGCACATGGAGCATATGATGCGGCGCTCGCGCGAGCTCGCCAACTCCTCCGATCCAAACGAGATGGAGCGTATGATGGCGGCGATCCGCCGCCAGGAGCGCCAGCGCCTCCTGAGGGATGCGGACGAAAAGGAGGACACTGAGCGCCGCGAACGCTTGGAGGCGGCGCGGAACTATGAAACCCGCCTTCGCGCAAACCGGTATCTTACGTCGCGGATGGCGCCGGCGCTGAACGCCAATGCCGTTGACATTGCGAGAGCGGCGGCGGCGGTTTCTGCGGCCCCAAGCATCTGCTCGCGGGATTCGGCAGCCATCAAGAGGGCCGAGAGCCAGAATCGGGCGGCGGCCGCAATCTCTGCAAGGAATAACGAGGCGAGAAATGCTGCAAAGAGGGTTTACGAGGCGAGGCTTGCTGCGGCAAACGATTCCAGGCATACACATGAGCGCCGTGTGCTTCCGCCGGCGATGGCGGCCCCGATTCCGGCACCGACCACAGGGATGGAGTTCACTGGGTTCGCGGAAACGCACCGGCAGCGTGCGGCCGGTGCGCAGATGCAGCGGCAGCCGATCCCTCCTCAGTTGCCCCTACAAGGAACCACATCGATTGGTGGCAACAATACCAGGCCCGCCCAGACCGAGCGATGGCAGCCGCAAGGAGCGTTCTCAGCGCCCGCCGGCGTCTCGGCTGATCAATGGGCATACCTCAGCACCATACAAACGCCCATGTCACCCGTGCAGCGGCGCGCCGACAGCGCACCACAGCAGACCGGCGGCATCAGTTTAGGCGCGGAAGGGCAGCTCTACTGGGACAACACCCTCCCCTTCCAGCCATATGGCGGCACCAGCAATAGCGCCTCGCCCGCCGACTCATACATCTGGAAACCTGCCACAGAAGCGCCCATGGCTACACCTGAAGCGACCGATAGCAACCAGCTCGCTCCTGAGTTGGAGGTTAATCCTGAGCTACAGGCACTCGTCGATAAGGCTTTCCCGCCTCAGCTCTCCAGTGAGGTCTTCCCGCCTCACCTGAGCCAGGCCTTTCCGCCCCAGCTTGACGGCAACGACGACAACGACGAGACCGAACTCGACGAGAACGACGACGAGACCGAACTCAACGAGAACGACGACGACGATGCCATCGGCCCTTGCGGTGAGGGGGACGAAGAAAGCAACGACGACGACGACGACGCTGAGGACAGCGAAAACACCATCGTTTGCCTCTACGAGGCCGTCAAGAAGAGCAAGGTCAAGCGTGGTGGAACAATCTGGAAGATCCTGCTCAGGAATGGCGTCTTTATGGCGGCGGATGGGCAGGAGTATCCGTTTTACAGGGGCAGTACGGAGCTGGTTTGGTAGATTCTATTCTTACAAAAAAGATCTTTCTTCGGTATCGGGGCTTTGTAGCATTCTTCCGTGGATGATATGGGGTCATAGGTTAGCACTCGTTGCGGTTTTAAGGGGGGATTTGTACTTAGTAGCTAGATGGTTACTTACTTAGAGAATAAAAATAAGAGTCTTATTCCCACAAGTTTTTTGAAGAGTGAAAATGTGTATATGGAGCTTATGTGTCCAGACAGTAAGTGTTGAAATGTGCAGTTTATGACGTCTCTAGTTCCTTTATCCTATTAGAGAGAACCAATTATCTACCAATAAGCTCTAGATTCAACCCGACGCAGACTTGAATTAAACAAAAAAAAAAAACCCGGCGCAGACTGTAGGTGTTCCAGAATGTTACAGTTTTTAAGTCAGATTGTGGGCGATGATTTTGACCGACATGGACTCCGAACTGCCTCCATTTGAGTATGAGTACCCACAGTGCATTCCAGACTACACACTATATATTACTAGGAGAGAAGTTGAGAATTGCACTTTAACCCATTAACCAGCGAAATGTATTATCGACTTAACAGCCGACATATAACTCACATGCACATATTAACAAACCCTTCATAAAACACCACCCGCCCCAACCAATGATAAGCGCCGAGTGATACCCCATGAAGATCCCGCCCCGGGTAACCCCTTCCGAACCCCACCAAATGATTGACGTGTACCCGTCTACCCTACTTACCACCCACCTATCCACCACCGGCCACCACATATCACTCACCTCCATAATAGTAATTCCACAACGCCAACCACCATGACCGAGCTCAGCTTCACCAAGCAGTTCCTCGCAACCCTCGCGACCCGCAACGTCCACATCCCATCCGACTTCTGCGAAGACGCGCGAAAGCTCCCTTCGCGCACTCCCGTTCGTACTACCCTTCAGCCCAAGCTCTCTAGCTAGCTACACCAGCGCTGACCACCATTCACATCACAGTACACCCTCCCACACACCAAGAAGCCCAAAACCAAGCGCACCAAGCCCAGCACCACCACCTCAATCCCCTCCGGTACCTTACCCACTCCCCAGTACTTTGCTTTGACAAAGCTAAAGCTAACCCAACTCCAGCAAACATCAGCATCAAGTCGCTCCGCGGCGCCCAAATCAACCATGCAATCCCCAGCACGCCCCTCAGCTCCACGATCCTAACGCTCAAGCACAACCTCTCGAAAGCGACCGGCCTCCCGATCGACAAGCTCAAGCTCCTCCTCAAGGGCAAGGTCCTAACGGATCTCAAGACGCTAGAGGAGCTTGGGATCGTGGATGGCGCGGACGTGGGCTTCACGGTCATGGTCATGGGCGGGGCTTCGCCGGCGCCGAGTGCGCCGGCTGAGGGCAAGGGCTTGGTGGATCCTGGCGAGGATAAGGGTGCTGTGAAGAAGAGCGCGCTGGGTGAGGAGAAGTTCTGGCAGGATTTGGGAGCTTTCCTGAAGGACCGGTTAGGGAGTAGCGAGGTTCTGGAGGAACCAGAACATGTGCTGGAGACCTTTAGAGTCGCGTGGGGAAAACGGACGTTGTAGGCGAGGTCCCTTGAAAGCTGCAATGCAATGATTTCTAAAGTATCTTATTACCGCATGATTTCCGGGGCTCTGATTATTCTTAATTGCCTTAGCCTTTTTTTTTTTTTTTTTTTTTACCCATAACTAGATTTTTACTCATTACGTTAAGCTTTTCACCGAGCCACCAAGCTTTAACTAGCCAAGACCCCAAGAAAATCCCAATACCCGGTACCCATGTTGGTGTTACAAAGCATCCAATGATTTGCATCACCACTTTATGAAATTATGTATTGCTCGTTTCTGAAATTTTTCATTCCACGAATTTCAAGTATTCAAGTATCGCAGTCGTCACAAAGAACAAAGTCCCTCTTAACCACCACATCTTACTACTTATTTCATCCATCAACACAAGGCAAGAAATTTTAGATGCGTAGCCAAAATCACACCCTTTGCCTTCCTTTCCTTCCCTCCCATGCCTTACCCTACCTTTCCCAAGCTCAAAAAAAACTAGAAATAAAATAAAAAAATGAAGAATGGACAAGAAATAAAGAGACAAAACTCCCAACATCACAGCAATAACTTTTTCCACAGAGATGAAACTAGATAGATGATTACAAGAAAATATAATCCAGAATCAATCGCGAGGAAAACCAAGAGTAGAGATATCCCTCACGACAAATCGAGGGCCCGCCGAAAAAGATTTAAGCGATGATGATAAAAATTCGACAATGATGTTTCCAAAATTTACATGATAATGGAAGGAACTATAGTTTTTCTCGTTAGCGAACCCGTTCGAACAGCAAGAGTGAGAAACCCGTTCAATCCACAAGATCGGCTTACCGTCAACGTTAGCCTTGATAGTCTTATGTGGCAGAACACTTCCGCCGTTGACATAAACCTCATCGGCAATAGTCACATCATCCCCTAAAACAGTCACATTCTCCAGACGAGCCCACTTCCCCACAGTGCTATTCCATCCTACAATGGTGCTCTTGACCCACGCATGGTCCTTAATTCTGCTTCCTTGCAGAAGGACTGATCTCTGCAATCTTACACCATCGCCAATAACAACGTTGGGGCCGATGGTCACGTTTGGCCCGATGCGGCAGTTCTTTCCAACTTTGGCGCTGGGATCGATCAGAACATTTCCACCGTGCACGTATGACTCGGAGGCTGGTGTAAGTAGCTTAGAATTCTTCTTAGCCAGAGATGACAGGTAGAGACATGTTCCAGTGAGGAAATCTTTCGGCTGTCCAACGTCCATCCAAAAACCCTCAAGGTCGAAAGAATGCAGTTGTCCATCTGCGCAGATTGCAGGGAAAGTCTCCTGTTCGATAGAAGTGGGACGGAGCTCGATGCGGGAGAGAACAGAGGGGTTGAGAATGTAGATACCGGCATTGATGCGGTTACCGACGAATTCGACAGGCTTCTCCACGAAGCGGTCGATACGTGAGGGGTGGTTGGGCTGGTGGACAACCACACCATACTTAGAAGGCTCTTCAACCTTAGTCACAACGATTGTTCCCTCTTGACCATGTGACTTGTGGAAGTCGGCAAGGTTTTGGAAAGGGTAATCGCAGATGACATCCGAGTTGAGAACAAAGAAGGGGCTGTCATCCTTTCCGAGAATCTTCTCAGCAAGCTTCAACGGACCGGCAGTGCCCAGAGGCTCGGTCTCGATGGAGAAGGTAATCTTGACATTGTATTGCTCCTCGTACTGTCGTAGGAAAGTTGTTGTTAGCTTCTAAGACATTGCGGGGAACGTGTTTCGCGAATTGAGACTACCTTTTGCAGTACACTAATCATGACATCTGGCCTGTAGTTGACAGCCAGAACAATATCGGTTACACCAGCAGCGGCCAAAGCTTCGACCTGGTGACGAATCATAGGCCTGTTGCCGAACTCAACAAGAGGCTTTGGGAGAGTGAGAGTCTGAAAATGGCATTACAAGGGCACGGTCAGCATTCTGCTCATCAATTGTATACTTTTGAAGCAAAACCGCTCAGACTCGCTGTAATCCACCGTCTAAAAATGTAGATACGGATAGCCGCTCGGAGGTAATGTTGAATGTGGGGTGAAAATTCAGGGGGAGTGGCATACAAGAGGCCGAAGACGAGTTCCGAAACCACCGACGAGAATAAGAGCTTTAGTAGGTACGAGTGAGCTGCCTGCATTGTCCAGATGTGGAGATGGAAGTGTACCCTTCATGATGAATGATTTATCTGGGGTCTAGTCAACGTGATAGATAGATAGATGATGGCAATTAGTTTATTTAGGAAGCGAGTGGAATACAGAGACAAATGGCGAAGATTGAAACAGTGGGGAAGCTCTGAGATAGAATTGATGGCAAAGAGAGGATAGCTTTGAGGTTTTCAACGAAAGAAGGTCAAAGAGAAAAGGGGGAGAGGGAAGAGAAGAGAGAGAACGGGATTGAAATACCAATCACGTCTAAAAGGGAAAAACGAGCTCTGTGCTTCACTCAAGGTGTCTGCGTGGCCTACTTTGGTATTGCAAGGGGGGTAAGCAGGGCAAGGGTTTGGAGACCCTTGTTTTACAGGCAGGCGAATTCAATTTGGTTTCAGCGGTCAACTCTTCGAATAGGTACGAGTACATTTAACAGCAACCCTGTACATACAGTAGCACATAGGTAGACCAAGACTACACATGTAGGTTTCAAAAATGGATGGGCTAAGAAGCTCCTTAGAAAGTCGACGGCCACTCATTTCACTTTGGACATGATCACGCCTGTAGCTGCTGATCGAAAGGAGATTTCAGGAAGCTCCTCAATTCCGAAAGTTGACCTCCTCCTTAGACTAAGTAAGACTCTGGTACGTGAAAGACGCCTATCACATTCGTTCCACCGTCCTCGTGACGGGATGTTTCTAATCTTGCTTCACCGACCCAACTACAAACAGTTAGGTAATGGAACTATTCTTCTGTGGAAATTCTCCAGAAAGTGCGTTTGCAAGCTGAGTACGAAACCAACAATGGTCTCAAATATTCGCAATCCAATCCATGGTTCGAGAAGTGTTCCAGAGAAGCGTACCCCCCTGGCATCGTCGTACCTGGAGTACCGTACCGACCATGCCGAGACATGATAATCTCCCTATTGTCCTCCCCCACATCTGGATTAGTGGGGCGAGTTTGGCCGACGATGCGATTTTACGCCATCGATACCTATTAAACCACGGCGACGGCGAGCCCATCTTGGGATCTCTGCTCTATGAGGCTCCGTTTGACAAGAAAAACCCGGGTAAGCATCTTTACAGCTGATTGCCACGAGGCCCCAAGGTTACAGTTGCAGTGCATGTGACTTCTTACTCGTCAGCTTGAAGGTCCAAAATAGCCCATCAATAATCACTTCTAATTACCTGTCTGCCCATGAGTATCGGTATGCAGTGGCTTGCGTATCGTGGCCTTTCATCATACGATTAAACCATGAGGATCTACATTTAGGCCCTTTATACCCT